ACAACACACAGTCATAAATTTCACATCTTCAATCATCTCGTCTGTAAATTTTTTTTCATCCCTAAATTCAATTGCATCATGATTCAATATATGATTATGTTTGTTAACTATTTTATTAACAATTATAGTCTCATCAGGATTGTTGGTCTTGGGACAAGATACATTAATCAAAAATTAGCATCGCATTTTTTGTGTACTAGTATCTTTCTCCGAAGTAGATTCATATGACCTACTGTGATTGCATAAATAAGTTCGTCAGCGAATAATACCATCCTCACGAGTAACTCGATTCTTAACTAAATAAAAACTACGTCTTTTAGCCCAATCATTAATAAAATTTTTACAGATTTCCCATGATGTAAATCTTTTTCCAGAGTATAAAGTGGAATGTTCATTTTCTCGAGTAAGGAATGTATGATTCTCTAATAAAGAATATATAGTTATAAATATAGTGCTATAAAGCATAAATATCGCTTCAAATGATAAGATAAAATGTAAATGTTTTCATTATAGAGGATGGTGAGGATTCTTCTGGTAGACCGGAAGCATTAGACACATATTTTTTATCTGGAAAACCAGTGGTAGAAGATTCTTCTAAAGAACCAGCAATGTCGAACACGTATTCTTCTTCTGGAGAACCAACAGCAGGAGACACATATTCTGAAGAACCGGCAGCAGTAAACACATATTCTTCTAAAAAACTCGTGACAACAGACATGTCTTCTTCTAAAGAACCAGCAACATTAAACACATATTCTCCTTCTAGGTAACTGGTAATAGTAAACATATTTTCTTTACCTGAAAAACCAGCGACATTAGACACATATTCTCCTACTGGAGAACCAGCTAAGTTAAGCACATATTCTCCTACTGGAGAACCAGCTACGTTAGACACGTATTCTTCTTCTGAGGAACCAGCACCAATAAACGCATATTCTTCTGCCAAAGAACCAGGAACGTTAGACACATATTTGCCTTCTGTAGAACCAGCGACACATGGAAGCACATATTTTTTTGAAGAACTAGAGGAATAAATAGGACCATATACTCCTTCCAGAGAACCTGAAAGATCAATAGTTAGAACTTATTATTAACAACAACGCAATTCTTGTTCACAGAATTAGAATTAGTAAGCTCACACTTTTCTTCCATTTGACATAAATTTCAGGCTTTTTTAGTATATAAGACGTGAACAAGCTTCAGGCTTGTTTTCTATATAGAGCGTCGTATAGTGTGGCCCGACTTGGTAGGGTTTGCAAATAAGAAATTACTTGTCGAATCGTCAAAGTAATAAGGTATTAAAAAAAATTTTTATCATTATTAGTATTTATAGGCAAGTGTCACGTGATTACGCCGATCTAAAGACCTGCGGTAATTCATATATGCGGTAAAAGATAAAATTCTAATAAAAATAAATTTAATAAAAATTTATATTTGTAATTATATATATACTTCTTCGGATGATTGCGAATTTCCTGCGTGTTTTTTGCCTTTATTCTAATATCGTAAATTAATATTTGTTAATGATAAATAAATTAATATTTATTTAAAATAAATATATATACTTTATCAGATTCTTCTGATTCAGAATTTTCTGAATTGTCACTTTCTTCTGAGCTTGTTTCATCTTCAGAATCAGGCGGGAAAACGCTTCGTTATTTTCTAATATTTTCTAAATAATTCGAATATATTTAAATTAATTAACATATTAAATCATTTTATCAATTATAATCTAATTATTCTAAATCTATATATAATTATATTAAATAAATTTCTTATATCAAAACTTACCAAATTTTTTGCTAATTTATTTTTAATTACGCTCTCCGAAATAGTTAGATTTTCTTGCTTCAGATCTAAAATTGATTGGCAAACAGCAATTGCATATACAACCTTTTCGTTAGTAGTTTCTCCAGATGGCCAAATTTTGTTTAAAATGAGCAACATATAAGTTTCATCAGAATTATTTGAAACTTTAACAAAAAGTCGCTTAAAACAGGATACAGTTTTATCAGAAAGTTTCTATTTAATTATCTTCTCATGTGTTGCTTTGTTGTTAATAGGATCTAAAAGATCTCCAAATACAGAAAACATCGAAGCCTTGATCTTAGTAGTCAACGTACTCCGCAATAATCTAAATTTTTCTAAAGCTAAAATTTTAAAAGTTAATAAATATTCTAAAATTACATTTTTAATTAAATTTCGAATTTATTTGAATTTATTTAAATATATTCGAATTTATTTGAATATATTCAAATATATTTGAATATATTTGAATTTTCTAAAATTAATATATTTAAATTTATTCGAATATATTCGAATTTATTCAAATATATTCGAATTTATTCAAATATATTCGAATTTTTTAGAAATTTATAAAAATTATTACTTGTTCGTGTAAATTCTTTTCATAATAGGTATTTCACTTTTTCTTCAGCATTCCTGATATAAATTCGTCATGATGCGCCCTTATGTAAATCTCCATCTCTTTTTTAAATTCTTCTTCCTTTGGATATAACGTATATTCGATTAAGGCTTTAGTGGCCTCTTTTACAGTTTGCTATTACAAAAATTATTAGTATAATAATATATATATTTATAAATTTAAATAAAAATTTAAAATTACTTCTTGAAAAGTTTTTTCATGCATTACATCATATTTATCTACCAACTTATCCTCCATTTCTTTCAACCTATTTTCAATACGAACAACATGAGAAGTTAGTTCTTCAATTTTGTGAAGTATCTTACCCTGATTTTCTAAAATCTTCGACAAAGTTCTT